AGCATGTAACGCAGTGCAGCAGTCAGCATGTAACGCAGTGCAGCTGTCAGTATGTAACGCAGTGCAGAGGTCAGCAGCCAGCATGTGACGCAGTGCAGCGGCCAGTATGTAACGCAGTGCAGCAGTCCATGTAACGCAGTGCAGCAGTCCATGTAACGCAGTGCAGCAGTCATCATGTAACACAGTGCAGCAGTCCATGTAACGCAGTGCAGCAGTCAGCATGTAACACAGTGCAGTAGTCAGCATGTAATGCAGAGGTTAGCATGTAACGCAGTGTAACAGTCAGCATGTGACACAGTGCAGAGGTCAGTATGTAACGCAGCACAGAGGTCAGTTAATAACGCAGTGCAGCGGTCAGTATGTAACGCAGTACAGAGGTCAGTATGTAACGCAATACAGAGGTCAGCGGTCAGTATGTAACGCAGTGCAGAGGTCAGTATGTTACGCAGTGCAGCAGTCAGCATGTATTGCCGTGCAGAGGTCAGCATGTAAAGCAGTGCAGAGGTCAGCATGTAACGCAGTGTAGAGGTCAGCACGTAACGCAGTGCAGCGGTCAGTAGGTAACGCAGTGCAGAGGTCAGCATGTAACGCAGTGCAGAGGTCAGCGGCCAGTATGTAATGCAGTGCAGAGTTCAGCATGTAACATAGTGCAGAGGTCAGTATGTAACGCAATGTAGCGGTCAGTATGTAATGCAGTGTAGCAGTCAGTATGTAATGCAGTGCAGCGGTCAGTATGTAACGCAGTGCTGAGGTCAGCAGTCAGTAACGCAGTGCAGTAGTCAGCATGTAATGCAGTGTAGCGGTCAGTAATGCAGTGCAGAGGTCCCACAGAAAGAACAGGGACTTACAGTGACTCTTTTCCTCTCCTGTTTCAGGTGCTGTGCCATCCTCTTTCCTCTCCTGGTGGGGGTGGGAGGGAGGAGCAGCAAGGTTTCCTCCACGTTTTCAGGTGATTCCAGCCACTTCCTGCTGTCCTCCCTTTAGGACCCAGGCAGACAGTGAGTAGGAGTGCAGTCTCCCTCCCAGCCAATAGCAGAAGAAGTGGGCGGAGGGAGCTGCCGAGGAGCTCGAGCACTACATGGGCTAATAATGACAGGCAGCCGAAGAGCTTCTTCTCCTCCTCCCCGGCTGCTGCAGGAGCAGAGGGGAGAGATGAAAAAAGCGATTGCTGCTGCGCCGGCAGGGGCCGTTTTTACAGCCACCAGAGAGGCCCAGGGGGCAATTGCCACCCTGCCCCCCGGCCCAGTCTGCCCCTGGTCCAAGTGAACTGGGAGAAGGCAGAAAGCAGACTGCTTTTGTGAACAGTGCCTAAGTCTTTGCAGATCTCATGTAAGTGATATAAAAGTCAAATGGATATTAAGCTATTTCAAATGCTGATGAAATCACTTACAATGAATGCTACTTGATGTTTAAACGTTTTAGCTTCCTGCAGAATCAGCTAGTCCCCATAGCACTGGTCCTGACTTCCTGTTTTAGAGTGACCCCTTTCTCAAGTGCTATGCAGTCACCCTTGTGTGTGCTAGTAAGCTGTTTGTATCTCCACAAACACACAGACACAGCAAATCAAGCTACTCCCCTCCACCCTGGCAGCCTGTCCTCCCTCCTCTTTTCTCTAAGCTAGTAGATGAACAGTTGCTGGAGTATGCACTGTCCTTTGTGATCTAGTACTGGGCAGGAAGCTGAGCTGAGAGACGTGGATGCCACTGGCAAAAATTTAAAGCAATGCTTTGCTGAGCAATGTATATTTGTTTAATTTCGATTTGTTATTGAAAAAAAGTTTGAGAGTTTAATTCTACTTTAGGAACAGAGCTTTGTCAAAATAGGTGTTTTGGACCTCCATAACAATTTCATCAATAACAGGTTCATTTGTAGAAGTAGAGGTGGTGGATAGGGTGATACTAACCTGCCATTTTTTGGGGGGACTACACCAAGTTGGAAAAACCCACAAATTGTGATTTGCATCACATTTCCAGCTCATTCATGACCTTTTCAGCCACAACTGAGTCAAACTGGGAAGCTGACTGCTAGTTGGCAGACATGGTGGGTTCGTTGGTCAGCAAATATGTTATCCAGACTTTGCAATGAAATCCATCTTGCAGTTTCAGGGCTAACAAATCCTTGGGACAAGCAATTATAGCCCCTAGTTGGCAGCAGATGACCTTCTCTGGACACTGCCGATGTCAGAGCCCTCGCAGCAGACTGAAAGGAGGTGGGCTTATGCAAACACATGATCAACAGCCAGAGGCTGCCTTCTTCCAAGTCTAAGTGGAGCCTCTTTTGGTAAAATTGTGTACCATAGTTGAACAAGCATTGCCAACCATACAATTTATAAGTGAAGAGAACTCCAGCAAAAGCACAGAAACCCTGCAGCCAGTTCCCAAAAATGCAGGGAAGCTGTTTCAGTTTCTCACCTTGTACATTAGGGTCAATTTGATTATCAACTTCTATCTTCTAATCAGCTAGAGCAAACAAAAAAACAAATATCAAATCATGCTTCCATATTTTATCTTTTATGTCTAGGGACAAATGCATGCCAGCTGGAAAACAGTCCATGGAGGGCTGCCTGGCGAGCTACTTTACCCAAAGATAGATAGATAGGGGGCTGCACCCAGCATAACGCCCATGCGTAACAAGACTGACTTAATTACATCAAAAATATGATTATCAGACATTACTGGTAAACTAAGATCGCCGAACCTCCCCTATGCTATTCTACAGTCAAACTCACTGAGAGGAGCTTCTGGAAGTGAGTCAGAAGTAGTGCACCTGGTTTTGAAGCAGGCAAGAAGAGGTTTAGCAGACTGACATCCCATTGTCCAGTCATCTGCTGCAGGCACTGGAAGATGCCGTTGGCATCCTTTTGAGCAGGCAAAATTGTAAAATCTGCTGGCGACAGTGGCAGAGGAAAAGGGATTGCCTGCATTTGTAGTTGAAAATAGGAGCACTATTAAGTGTGGAGATCCAAAGGTAAATGAGAACATTGCAGGGTCACATGTAGGAGGAAGTGAGGAAGCAGGTACATTGTGCGTGGAGAATTAATGATGGGAAAAACACACTGACAAAATGGCTGAATTGATCTGCGGGGCCTGCAACTAAAGAGTTCAGCGAGGGTTCCCCTCTCACTTTACTTCTTTAAAATAGTAGTAAAGCAAAACCTTTTTTTTGGGGGGGGGGGGGTTCTCTTTTGGGGCACAGGAGTACATTTACTAATGTACTCCTGTGACTCAAAGTCAGTAGATAGCAGGCTACTGCCCACTAAATGCTGACAGCGCCGGGAAGGATTCCAACAATCAGATCCACCTGCCTGATTGACTGCTGGCTCTGCATCTCTAGAGCCAGTGTTAGCTGTTCCCACCTTCTCCCCGCCTGTCCCTCCGGTGGAACAGAGAAGGGAGGGGGGATGCCTGCTGGAAGATGACTGTGAGCTGAGTGATCAATGGCTGCTTGCGTGCTCATCCAGAGGCATATCTAAAAAAAATGGTGCCCATGGTGTCCTGCCATACACATCTCCCTGCCTGGCTCTTAGCAACCTGGGACACTCTGGCCGACATCCCGCCCTGCTGATGGCATCCAGTAACATCACTGGTTGCCAGGATCTGGGCAGGACACCAGCCAGTGCTCAGCATGCATACATATCTAATTGCCCACTCTGGTTGCTAAGACCTTGGAGGGATGATGTAAATGGAAAAAAATGATTTCCAGGAGCTGGGCTGGACGCCCGCCAGAGCATACCCTGGTGCTAAGACCCGGGCGGGGAGATGTGTGAGGGCTACACATATCTCCTTGGCTGGTCCTTACCACCCTGAGACACTCTGGCTGGAATCCCACCCAGCTCCTATAGCAAGCAATAACATTGCTGGTTGCTAGTAGCTGGGCGGGACGCCGGCCAGCGCTCAGCCTGCATACACATCTAACCACCTGTTCTGGTTGCTAAGGCCTGGGAGGGACGATGTATATGAAAAAGAAACTGGTTGTCCGGAGCTGAGCGGGACACCTACAAGAGCGTCGTCCCATGTTGCTAAGAGCCAGACAGGGAGATGTGTGAGGGCCTTGAGCATAGGGTAACGGGAGGACGCTAGTTTGTGTCCTCCCGTTACCCTAAGGAGAACTATGGGGAAAAACACTGACCCCATAGTTCTCCTTTAAACTTTCACTGACCCATGGAGCTGCTCCTCCCCCTTTGAGTGGTGCCCAGGGCATGTGTCATACTCTGAGTACCACTGCGCTCGCTCATCTCCCAATATATAGAGCCAGCACATGACAGCTGCAGCATCTAGAGCGTCGTCCCATGTTGCTAAGAGCCAGACAGGGAGATGTGTGAGGGCCTTGAGCTTAGGGTAACGGGAGGACGCTAGTTTGTGTCCTCCCGTTACCCTAAGGAGAACTATGGGGAAAAACACTGACCCCATAGTTCTCCTTTAAACTTTCACTGACCCATGGAGCTGCTCCTCCCCCTTTGAGTGGTGCCCAGGGCATGTGTCATACTCTGAGTACCACTGTGCTCGCTCATCTCCCAATATATAGAGCCAGCACATGACAGCTGCAGCATCTAAGTATTGGAAAGAGTATATTCTACTCTCCCAACACTTCTCCTTTAAACATAGGTAAGCTGCCATGGAATAAACTTTAGTTCTTGGGTTTAGATAGGCTTTAACACTGTCACAAGGGATCTAAGTCACTTGATTTAAGTGTCAGCAGATGCCACTCATCACTGGCAAGCCACTGCATCTTGTAAGCTAGTACAAACAAACGGGGGCGACAAATAGCTCTGCTCCCATATGTACCAGTGTCAGCTCTCAGCGTCTCCCTGGAATGCTGGATAGCCAGGCGCTGCTGTGCGCACTGATTGGCCGAGCGGGCGCTGTGATTCATTCCAGTCAGCCGGAGCCATTGGTCTCCCTAGTAGCAGACTCTGCCGGGGGAGGCTGAGCACACAATTGAGATTGATACGTACTGGGGAAACGGCACCGACATCGCATATGCACCGGGGCTGCCGCTGCCTGCATGCAGCTTGGACATCCAGCGCTCCTTATGCAAGGTAAGATTTTCAGATTGATTTTATATGATTGCGTTTGCTGTACAGAACTTCGTAGCTGTATCCGCAGGATGAGCTGTGCACTTGTTAATTCACGATCTGTTGTGCGATAGGCATTCATCTACACTGGCATTAATAGCTCTTCTATATGTAAAAGCATCGTATCAATGCTTGCACTGACAATAGATGGAGGATCATTGATTTAGCAGTCATGGACATGGTCTGGAATTTCTGGCAAGCCAATAAAATGTAATATAGTTAAGCTAGGACTTTAATTCATGCATGTTTCAAATTAAGTAAGTGGATGGATGGTTGTATTTGCTAAAGCGGCTATACATACACAGAGAAATGCAACAATGGTATTTTATGAATGTGCGTTAGACCCCTGTGTAACTCTTTCTGTGCATGCAAGGCCCTCTGAGACTTGCTCCCAATATTGATCAGCTGTGTGGAACTTCTATGGAGAGCAATGGTGCCTGCTGCTGGCACATGACAATTCATCCTTTCTAATAATCTGGAGATGATAGTGCGTGAAGTATTTGTTACTATTGTGACAGCAGCGCAACTGGATAACATTTGGTCACACGGCAGAATAAACTGGATAACACTGACACTCATCTCCCTGCATCTTGTCCATGTGTTGTGGGAACAGATGTTACATCTTGGAAGCTGATCTCTTAAATTAACCAAGATAAATTCTTGTAATCCCAAAGCCAGATCATAATCGGACACATTCATTGCTTGCAGCTTGGTGCAGTGAAAAAAAAAATACTTATCTTGTAAGTAGGCCAAGATAACTGAATAGATTGCAGAATTTAGGTTTGGCAAATGCCATTTCTTGCCAAGGGAACACAGGGTACCAAAGAAGGGTTGTCTCCCCAGGCTGCTAAGGGGTTAATGATTGCTTTAAAGCGTTTCATTTGCAGCCTTTGATTAATGATAATATTGTAATGTCTAAATATATTGGCTTCTGTGAGAAAATGGAGGTGTGGTTATAGTGCTCTTGGCAGAAAAGGAAAGGACCGGTTAAGCACAGGCAGTATTGAAGCTGCGGAGAAGATTCAGCACAGGGGCTATGGACAGCTCCTTTCTGTCACTTGTCAGAGGACCTCTACAATGTGGAGGACTCGGGGACAGATGTACAGTCATGGATCTTATTGACTCAAAGCGATGCGCAGAGAACTGGCCTGTGTTACCTAGGTGATTTCTGGTAATTTGAAAGCCAAATTGAAGGAGACTGGAATTGGAATTGAAAAACATGCCACTGCCATTTACAAGAGGCGCTGTAAAGAATATCTCAGAAGGGCCACAATAAGGAGTTCTGCATTGTAAAGTGCGAATCAACATGTGATCACAGCAACCCAAGGACATGCTGATTTAAATGCCTACGTGACCTTGGGAATACCAGGGCATGCATTTGTCCAGGGCACCTAAAATTTAAATGACTTACTGTCCTGTAGAGGTATATGTCAAATAAAATGAACATTTCATTTTCTGCCTGTCAATAGCATTCCTATTCAATGTACTTATTGTGTTAGAAATCACTATAGTACAAAATAATATATAGGCAGCCATTAGCCATAGTTGGTTGCCATGAAATGAAGGTTGCATGGTGTTCATTTAGTAGGCCTTTTGTTTTATTTAGAGACGTGTTTCACATATATTGGCAGCGTGTGAGAGAATTATCCATTTATTTCTTTGCTTCTGTATGTCTTCCTGCTTCTTTAGCATGGCAGTTGATCGGCTATACACATGCATGTTGGGGGAATACAACTGGTTGGAGATAATGAAGCTGGTTCACTAAAGGAGTTGAGAATCTTTACACAATAAATTGTGTGAATATTCACCTAATTTATCCAATAATGTGAAAAGCAATTTCCTATTTGCTCATTTCATCCGCACGTCATTGGATATTCAAAGTGAACAGAAATTTGCTTATCACATGATGACATGGATAATTGAAGTGAATATTTACACAATGTATTGTGTTAAGATTCTAAGCTCATTTAGGCTGGGCTCACACCTAGGCGTATTGAATATGCGCGTTTGCCGCGATTCACGGTAAAAAAACGCGTGACAAACACGCGTTTACGAGGGCTACCTGGCTGTATCCCAATGGATACGCATGGCAAATACGCCCCAAAGAAGCTCCTGTACTTCTTTGGGAGTAGGGCGTTTTGCAGCGCGTTTTGCAGCGCGTTCCTACGCGCTGTAAAACGCCCAGATGGGAACCATGCCCATAGGCAATCATTGGTTTTCACATGTTGAGCGTTTTACAGAGCGTAGGAACGCGCTGTAAAACACCCAGGTGTGAACCAGACCTTAGTAAACTAGACTTACTAGGTTCATTCTGTTCTTTAAAACTTGTCTAAAATATACCCAAAGCTATTTGTTGTAAGTCATTTAAACTATTCCCTGCTCAATGAACTGCCAGAGTTATAAAAGGTAGACATTAGAGCAAGTATAATGGCATACCAATGTACTATACCCATGAAGACATACCTGGTAACCTGTGTAACCTTCTAGTCCAATCCAAATACTTTGACAACCTACCACCGCTGTTTCTACACTTCACTATATTTTGTTGCTGTTGTTACTTACGTGTAGAGTTTGTTTGACATAGTGTAGAATCCACTCAAGTATAGCAAGGGATAGCAACAACCAGCCTAGAGATTCAATAAAAATCTTAAAGTGACACAAAACACAGGAGTTAAATCTTAGAAATACATTCAAGTACCATAACTATTAAGACAAAGGTAGCTCATGTGTGTATCACTCAGCTGTAGATCTCCAAATCATCTCTGAATGTGTGCTGACACTGTCCTTTCTTCTGGAGGATGGTTACTTTTGTTCCGCATGGTCCCTGTGTGTGTTGTAAAGTAGTTGCCGCTCTGATCTGTGATGAACGTCAATCTCAATACAAATTAGTAAACTAAATGTGAAATTGTAATCCATCACGGGAGTGAGTTTGGGGCAGTGGCTACTTTACAACACACACAGGGTCCATGGGGAACAAAAGTAGCCACCCTCCAGAAGGAAGGACAGTGTCGGCACCAATTCAGAGATGATTTGAGGATCCGCAGCTGAGTGATACACAAATACGATACATTTTTGTTAATAGTTATGGTACTTGAATGCATTTTTCGGGTTTGATTTCTGAGTTTAGTATGGCTTTAAGAGTCTCATCACATCACATTATTTGGCAAATTTCCTTTAAAGATGTTGCTTATGCAAAATATAAAAACATTATTGGTGGTTTGCAAAGCTAGTCATGGGCAGCGATATATATTTTAACAATCCGCACAGCTCTTTACTCTTGTGAATCGCACAACATATAGTATCCTTCTAGCCTTGCACCAGAAATAATGAAATGAAACAAACTGACAGGCCAGACAAAGGGGAAGCTGCTGAATATACTGCTGTCTATGAAGAGAGGTGAATAGCACAAGTAATATCCAGTAATCTGTGAGCAGAGGTGAGTTTCTTTAAACTACTCTAGGATCAATCTTATTATGAGTTTTTATTCCTTCATTGTTCCTCAACATAAATGCAGTATAAAGCATTGAAGAAAAACAGTCAATCCCAGCTCCTCTGTACTTTATTTTAATTCTCAAACAGTGGAAGATCCACAGTAGGCATACATTTGATTTCTGGATGAAACATATAAGCCTATAAAATCTTTAAAATATGGAATGTGGACATTTATATACCTCTTTTCTTGTGAGAATGGGCATACCCTGTCCCAAATTTTCTTTTTTGTAATGAGAATCTAACATGTACTTATACGAACAAAACTTAGCCAATGCCTGACCCTGTCACCAAAGATTTCCCTCTCTAAACACCATGTAAGTATAACTATGTAGTCATTTTGGGGCGTTTAATTCCCTGAAATCCTTTGCAGACGTAAAGTTTAACCAACAGTACCAAAGAAATTGTCATATTGACTCCAAGAGCTGATATGTGCGTTGTTTTACAATAATTAATTAATCTTACTGTACCATTCCACCACCATAGAAGCCCTAGTGGTTTTGCATAAACAAGGCATGAGGCACTGAACCACATTCAGAAGGTGACTTTTTGTATCATTTAGTAGATTTAGGTGTCTCATTGAACAGCATTGCCAGAGGGGTATTAAGAAGTGCTAGTTCAGAACATCAGACACGGTGCTCCAGAATGGTTTAATTACTGGACTTTCCCACCAAAGGTGGAGAAAGATCCCCCTCTGCCCACACCTCCTTCTACAGGTATCCGAGACACCTGGATATGTAACCGCTAAAAAAGTTAGCACCTTGTACCACCTTGAATAGAATTTAAAGCATATCTCCTGTATTTTAGAGCTCAAAGCAGATACCAGTTGTGCTATTTAAAGCTGACCTGTACCCTTATCTTTAACAACAGACACAGCTTTAAAAATGTTTAGTAATGACAATCTAATTGCAGGCTTTGTATTCTTAGCATACCTTAGTTCTCTTTTCTTCCCCAGTCTTCTGACAGTGGCCATATTTACTAGATTTCCATTTACTTCCTTGCACTCGGGCACATGTGATTAGACATGTGACTAGGAAATGTGACCATGCACATCATCTCAGGAAAATACCTTTCCCTGAGAACCTGTGAGATTACAGATGAGATTTCCCAGCAATGCTCTGCTGATAATAAGGCAATCCTAGTGTGCATTGCTTTGCCAAACCTAAATCATTTTGCCATTTCAAAGCAGGAAGTGAATGCTCTACAAGTGTAAGTATTTCAAAATCACAGCATTTTACACCTGACATGTCTATGTTATTATTACTCATCATGCATAGAGTGATGTATTAGTAGAATTTGATTTTTGAGCGTAAAGGTCCGCTTTAAGCTTTTTGCCCTCTGTCAAAGTAACTCCAAGATCTCTCTCCTCTTGCAACTCTGACCCAAGAAGCATTTTTTTAGGTAGACAACAAGGGAAGCCATGCCATAGTTCATGCTGTGGGAGAAAGTGTGGGAATGTGTTTACGATTGGTTTC